AAAAAAAAAAAAAAAAAAAAGAAAGAAAGAAAGAATTACACATATAGTAGATCATAAGTAACGCTTAAAAACAAAAATATGACTGAGTGCAGCGGCTGACACCTGTAATCCTAGCACTTTGGAAAGCTGAGGGAGGTGGATTGCTTGAGCTTAGTAATTTGAGACCAGCCTGAGCAAGAGTGAGACCCCATCTCTAATAAAAATAGAAGAATTCAGGGCCAGGTGTGGTGGCTCATGCCTGTAATCCTACCACTCTGGGAGGCCTAGGTGAGTTGATTGCTTGAGCTCAGGAGTTTGAGACCAGCCGAGCAAGAGGGAGACCCTATCTCTACTAAGACCCCATTTCTACTAAGTAGAAAAACTAGCCGGATGTTGTGCTAGGTGCCTGTAGTCCCAGCTACTAGACTGAGACAAGAGGATGACTTGAACCCAAGGTTTGAAGTTGGTGTGAGCTGTGACTTTATAGCACTGTACCCAGGGCTACAGAGTGAGACTTTGTCAAGAAAGATTTAAAAAAAAATTTTTTTTTAATTGTCAATTAAAATTTCCATTAAAACTGGTAAACAGGGCTGTGCCTGTAGCTCAGTGTGTAGGGTACCAGCCACATACACTGAGGCTGGCAGATTGAATCCAGCCTGAGCCAGCTAAAACAACAATGGCAACAACAACAAAAAATAGCCAGGCATTGTGGCTGGTGCCTATAGTCCCAGATACCTGGGAGGCTGAGGCAAGAGAATCATGTAAGCCTGAGAGTCTGAGGTTGTTGTAAGCTATGACGCTATGGCACTTTACCCAGGGCGACAGCTTGAGACTCTGTCTCAAAAAAAAAAAAAGAACTGGTAAACAAATTGCACAGTATATTTAGGATATTAAGATTTAGTAAGAGTTGAGTCCTTCAGAACACTAATATGATAATCACAGTCATGAAAGACATTATCTTTAATATCATCTAAAGATGTTTATATCTCTTTTAAGAAAAGAAACTTACGCTATATACTCTGAATTAAATTGTGAAAAGTAGGCTCAGCGCCTGTGGCTCACGTGGCTAAGGTGCTAGCCACATACACCTAAGGTAGCAGGTTCAAATCCAGCCTGGGCCCGCCAAACAACAATGATGGTTGCAACCAAAAAATAGCCGGGCGTTGTGGTGGGCACCTGTGGTCCCAGCTACTTGGGAGGCGGAGGCAGGAG